AGGTGCTCCTCAGTGAAGAGAAGATAATTCAGAGAGAGCAGAGATGCCTTGGCCGAGCAGAAAGAGAGACAAAGGAGCAGTAGCAGGTCTGTGCTGACATCCTGACTGATTTAGCACCTCTCATTTGAGGTTCCAGGCTATAGTGAAACTACAGACAGCCGTATTAACCGTCTGTCTTTCACAGGCAATGTCTTACAGACAGCATTTCCTGTGCCAAATGGGCTGAGCACCCGAGTGTGACTGAGACAAGCCTGCTAGGTGTGTGATAAGGACAGTGATGTATTCTCAGTACAAGGGGCTTAGGAAATGGAATTCAGACCCATTTTTGCAGAGCTTTCAGGTCCTGCACAGCAGAGTTGGTCAGAGCACACCCAGTGCAGTGCCAGGAAGGTGATGTGGTACCAGCTGCAAAAACAAAAAGAATGTTGCACTGGAGGCATCATGAGTGGTGTTCAAAGTAGAAGATGAAAAAACTGCACATCTGTGCCCCTCATCTGCTTGACCCACTCTAGCAAATAACCACCTTTTTACCCCTTAATCACTTCTTAATAACTGGTTTGGGTTTTTTTTCTGTGTCCTGAAGAAACAAAGGATACATTCTGAACAGGTAGCTCAGTGGAGGTTAAGCTAAGATTTCCATCTCCTGCAGGAATTGAAATAGTTTGGTTTGCTTGGTGAATGTTCCTCTTACTCACCAGATTCACCTAAGTCTACTTCGTTGCCTGCAGCCAATTTCTCAGCAATTAATTAAAAAAATTCAACTACACTTCATGTGGGCAAACATGGTCTATCCTGAGGTCTTTTTATTACTAACTGGGAGTGTTAAACTACATTTTTGCAGACACAAAAATATCCTTATTTCAGATGCAAATTAGAAATACTCAGAACCATTGGTGCATAATGCTGCTACCTTACCCTGAGCACCTGGGGTGCCCCAAACTCCTGCTGCAGTCAAATGTGTGAAACCAGCTTGGACAACTGAAACTATTTTTTGAAACAAAATGTGTTTTATCTCAATGTCTTTTAAGATAAAAAAGAGCCTGATGCTAAAATTGCCAAAACCGAGGAGGAGACTTCAGATAAGGAAGAAGAAAAGTCTGCAAAACCTCCAGCTGGGAGCTCCAAGTCAGGATGGAAGAACTGGAAGAAAAAAGAATCTGAGTCTGGTGGGGAGGAAAGCAAGATCACATATTGTCACTGGCTGCTGAAATCAGAACCTGAGAGCAGGCTGGAGAAGGGGGTGGATGTGAAGGTGAGCACTGACACCCCCTCACCCAGCAAAGGACAGCACAGGGCCACTCCTGCCCACCTCGAGTGCCCAGATGCTGAGGGACAGCATCAGACAACTCAGATTGTGTTTTCTTCTCAAAACCCATTTGTCCTCCTGGAAATAGAAAAGCAGAATGTTCTTGTCCAAGGTGACAACCTTGGGGTTTCATACATGTAATACAAGAGGAAATCAGCTCCTCGGGATGCTTGGCTGTTGGTCACAGGAGCAGCATGTATTTCAGACTCTGCCTTTACACTGCTGCTTTGTAAAGGTTTTTCTGCAGGTCCTGTGGGAGATAAAAATTGTGTCAGGTTTGTGCTATAATTGAAGGAGCTGCTAGCAACAAATGCTTAGGCTCAGTGCAGACAATGACACCATAAAGATCAGAAACCTCCTGAATGAATGTGTATTTTCATTTCATTTGGCAGTTCAGTGTTGACGACTTGAAAGCTCAGCCTAATCAGACAACCTGCTGGGATGGAGTAAGGAACTACCAGGTAGGAAGCACATGGGGGCACTGAAATAGCAGAAGAAGAAGGTGGCTCTGTGTTCCTGTGCCTGAAGCATTTCCTCTTGGGGCACTCTGCCTGTTCATGGAGGTGCATTTTGGCAGGGATCTGAAGTCAACTCTTGCTTAGTGGCCTCTAGGTCAGAGGGAGATTCAGGCTGGTGAATATTCTGTCAAATCATCCAGTTTTTCTTTCACTTTCACTAGACCAATCCTTGATACCTTACAGCAAGGCTGTACTTACCCAAATCCTCTGTCAGTGCACAGCTTTCTGTTCCAAAGGAATTCCACGTGTGTTCCCCTGCTGTGTGTGATCCCTGTACTGTATAGGATTCCCTGTTCCCCTACACATGATCTGCTCTGATTTGTTTGCTGACAGCTCTCCTGGGCAAGGGTGGCTGAGCTGTTGAATTCCCACACACTTTCTGACCAACAGGAGCTTGCTCTTTAGCCTTGTTTTTACTTAATTGCATTCCAACACAAAAACATCTCTATGACAACTGCAGGAAACATTATCTGAGTAATTTTGAAATACATCTACCTCTCCTCTTGTTGGTTCCTATTCTTGGCTGCTTCTAATGAAGCCCTGAGAGCTTGATGGAAAGAGCTGAAAATCTCTTGTTTACTCCTGACAGGCAAGGAATTTCCTGAGATCCATGAAACTTGGGCAGCAGGCCTTCTTCTACCACAGTAACTGCAAAGAGCCTGGCATTGTGGCCCTTGTCAAGGTGAGTGTGTTTTGGGGAGAGGGGAGATGTGATAAGGAATGGGTTATCAAACAGCTCACTGCTTGTGGCTCAGCACCAAAGAGTGCAGGAGTTGTCCAGTGAGAGCAGGGAATGAGCTCAGGACACCTCAGCTCAGCACTGTGGGGCTGACTCAGCCGTGTCCCCAGAGAGATGGAACCACACTGTGCTGTTTTCCTGCTGACATTTCGGGGCACTCCCAGCCAAGCCAAGTGCTGTTCCACACTCTGATTTCAATCTGACTCACTGCATTCTAGTCAGCAGAGCCCACAAGGCAGTAGAATAAAAGCAGGGCACAGAACAGCTTTTTCTTTAAGAGGAGAGCTCATCACAAAGATCATCATCAGCTACCCAGTTTTCCTCTCTGCTGCATTTCCTTCCACACTGATCTCCAGCAGGTGATGCTGCACTCACTGTTCTGCACTTCTGCCACCCAAGAAATTAAAGGAAACTGTTAGAATGGAGTTCAGGGAAAGCAAGGCTGATTTTTCACCAGGATTGCTCCTTGTCACATCTCATGCCCTTTACTGACAGGTGTTTTGAACTGATGGAAACTTTCTTCTCCCCTTCTGCTTCAGATCGTAAAGGAGGCGTACCCTGATCACACACAGTTTGATCAGAAGGATCCTCATTATGACTCCACCAGCAGAAAAGAGAACCCCAAATGGTCCATGGTAATGTATTCTATTAAATACAGCTGTTCAAGCTCTGTGTGCAAGCCAAGAGAAGGGAGAAAGCTCTTTGCATCATATTGAAAATCTTAAGCTTCTGTCCTGGCCTAGCTGCCTTTTCTCTCTCAAGAGAAAATTCAATCCTGTTTCCTCTGCTTTTTCCCCAGTCCTTTCCAGGAGGCTGCCAAAATGTATCTCCCTAAATTTTCAAATCTTGGCTGCAGAGCTGGCCTCTCTTCATTTTCAAATCTTGGCTGCAGAGCTGGCCTCCACGCATGGCAGAACCCTGAGTTGGAAAAATGAGCTAAGAAGCACTGTCAGTGCACAGCAAACAAAGCTGTAGTTTTGAGGCACATTAAATTGTAGGGAAGGGAGTGTTCATGGGCTGCCTACATCCCACATCTGAATTTTGCATTGTCTGTGACACGAATGCACATTGCTGTCAACAAATCACCTGCCACAAATACTGGGAAGCTCTTTTGTCCTTCAGCAAGGCAAAGCTTCCAGTGCACATCAGTCACTTCCTTCAGCTTGAAATCTTTATCCCTCAAAGATTTCATGTGCTATCTGGAGGCTGTCCTTGTCCAACCTGCCCCTGCCCTCCCTTCCCAGGTGGATGTGCAGTTTGTGAGGATGACCAAGCGCTTCATCCCCCTGTCTGAGATCAAGGCTCACCACCTGGCACACAAAGCAGATGGGGGGCCCCTCAAGGACATGATGCTCTTCACCAGGCAACGTCTGTCCATCCAGCCCCTGACACAAGGTGAGAACCTCCCAGCACTCTTGATTCCCTCTGTCAGACAAGCTGATATTCCATTTATGGTTTTTCCTTCCTTACCACAGAGGAATTTGATTTTGTCTTGAGCCTGGAAGAGGAAAAGCCACATTAAAGCAGCACAGCTCCCACCCAGCCCACTGATGCCTCCTCCTCCACCAGCACAGCTCTCATGTTCACCTGCTCAAGCACAGCACCACGAATGTGCCCCCACAAGATCTGCAGCCACACCTCCCTTCCCCTGACACACTGTTATTTTTGCTTATTTTTTCAATAAATAAAGCCTTTTGGAATCAACTGCAGCTGCTTGGGTTTTAATAGTAGGAAAATCTGCAATTTATCTCTTGAGAAAGAAATAGGTACATCTTCTTTGTTTAGTGTGGGGTCTAGTGCAGCTCCATGTACTGCAGAGGGACATTTTTCTGCATGAAGGAATCCCTGAGTCCTGTCTAGAACCAGAAAATGTAGCATCATTGAATAGCCTGGGTTGGAAGAGACCTTAAAATCATCTCATTCCACCCCCTGCCACATTTTCCACTAGCCCAGGTTGCTCCAAGCTCTGTCCAGCCTGGCTTTGGACACTTCCAGGGATGTGGCAGCCACACAATCAGGAGGAATTTCTCTCCAACATCCCATCTAAACTGTTTTCTGTCAGTTTGAAGCCTTTCCCCCTGGTCCTGTCAGTGCATGCTGCTGTAAACAGTCTCTCTGGAGATGGATACACAAAGCAGATCACAGTGAACTTCCTGCAGGTACAAAAGTTCCCATGTTATTTTAGTTCTGACATCAGGGAAATGGAAGAAAATAAAGCCAGCCTGCTAATTTTTAAGCCACATGGGTCCTCCACCAGCACAGCTGCCAAGCAGTGACACAGCTTAAAGAAAGACCAAGGATTTATAAAGATAACAAAGGACAAACTCCTCCAGCATGTTTGAGAGCTGCACATGCTGGCACTTCTAAAGAAAAATCTCTTCATACCACAGGAAAAAACCAGCCCAACCCAATATAAAACATCAGACAAACTCATGCACAGCGTTTGACAGCCAAGGCTGGCTCTTTTTAATTGGAGAGACAAAAAAACCCAAGTTTTAAAATACAGCCATTGAAAAGACGACGAATTAAGAAACATGTAAACACAGCAGAGGCTTAATTACAACTTGCACTGCTTGGTTTGGTACTTGCCCACTCCCCTCTGCCTGGGAGGGAGGGAATGAGCCAAGTACAGCACAGAACCACCAGCTCAGGGGACACGACTGCCCCTGGACATGCTAACGAAACACTGCTCTGGAGTACCTTGTCCTGGAGTGACCCCAGCTGCTCTCTAAGGACGCTCAGCACATCTGCTCCACCCCAGGCAAACTGGGCCCAGTGCTAACAGGCTGAACGGTCCTTCAGATTCACTAAAAATGGGGATCATTTCTGAATTCTGGTTCCACACACAGGGATATGGGGGAAGGGACTAAGTAGGAAAAACCCCCCAAATCAATGTATAGGCTCATGCACCTTTTCCAAGGAAACCTCCAGGAGTGATGAACAGATGTTGACCAGCCATCTCCTTACAGCCAGGCAATGATCTTACACCCAGTCAGGCAGAGAAAAAACACTCCTGGAATGCAGAGACATCTCCATCCAGGGGGTTCCTTTCCTTCCACATGGCCTGCAATCCAGGGGAATAAAGGAATAAAGGCAAGGAGGGAGCTGAAGGGAAGCTTAAGAAGATTGTAAGGGCACTGCTGCGCTCAGTTCCCCTTAGAAGAACAGTTTGCTATCCCCAAGAGCTCCCAAAGGAACCTCACTCGTCCCTAAAGGATTGTGCCTGGCTGCAGCACAGCCAGTTCCCCCCGAGAGAAGGAGGATGTCCCAAGTGACATCCAGGGTCCCTTGCCATGGCAGAGGTCCCCAGCCCTCGCCCTGGCACAGCAAGGTGATTGCTGTCTGCAGTTTGCCCCAGCCCATGGCACAGACTCCCCGTGGGAGGGACAAGCAGCCACATCTTCAGCGGGGCACAGCAGAACCAGGGGTGGCACAAGCATTCAGCAGAGATGAGAGCATTAGTGTCCTCTACAGAGCCAGCTCTACTACAAACCACAACCTTACACGTGGTGAGGAAAAGATAACTTACTTTGGCAAGCAGAAACACACATTTATCACTGAAATACAGTAGCTGTCATTACATAAAAAGCTCCCCTTCCCACCCCAGCCCCACTCCCTCCACCAGCACTGAACAGAACAGACACTTCCATTTCCCAGCTGCAAGACACCTGCTCTACACTCAGCTGTAGGACAGAGGAACTTGATTCCAGAGCCAAAAGGAAGCTGGACAAACTAGCAAGCCACAAACTCAAGGAAATCCAGACAAATCCCACTTGACAGAGCTCATATCCCAGCACTTGGTGCAGGCTGGTCTCTCCCTTGGGTAGGAGGTCTCACCACCTGCTTGGTGAAGGGCAGCTGAACAGGATGGACATCCTCCAAACTCAGTCAATCAAGTCTACTAAGCCACATCTGATTTTTAATGGAGGAGCGACTTCCTTCTGGGAATGTTCTCATGAGTCTACTTAGCTGAAGGCTAAAAGCAGCTTATTTTAGAAAAGAAAACCCACATTCAGGTTCTTAGTTCACTGCATGCTCTCAGACCTCGCTGGTGACTTCAGCTCAGGCCTCAGGAATGTGTCTCTGGAATCAGAGCTCTGCCACCCTTCCAGGTGCTGCTTGGCTCCTTCCAGCAGCCCACACAGGCCTGTTTGAGCCTCCCACAACAACTGCATCCACCTTCTGTCCCCACTAACCCTCATCCTGCAGGCACGAGGCAGCAAACCTCAGCAAACCAGACCACGCACGTGTCCCCACACTGCTGTCCATCCCCACACAAAGCCTGCTCTGTCCCCAGGACACAAACACGGGCAGGGCAGCGTGGGCAGCGTAAACCCAGCCACAGGAGAGCCCTCAAGTGCTCCAGAGCTGCTCTCCACACCTCTCTGCAGCAGCACCTGGGAGCTGCACGAGAGCAGCAGCCGAGTGTGGATCTCAGGACAAGATTAGGAAGGCACAGCTCGTGGCCTGGAGCCTTCCTGGCCCCACTTGTTGCCCATCCATGAGCACTGGGACCGTCACTGCTCTGCCCACCCCATGCCACATCCTCCTGTACCCACATCTCACTCCCTCCTACCAGCCACAGCTCCTGGTGGGACACAGCGTGGCTCTGCCCGTGCTCCACGTGGCTGGCTGGCAGTCCCAGGGCTGAGTCACCTCCATCATCCAGCTGCTTGTGGCAAGGAATCCAACGCCAGCACGAAGAGGAAGAAGGGGAAGCAGCGAGGGGATGACACCACGAGATTTCCAGCAGGCCACGCCAGTCTCTGATCCCTTCTCTAGCATCCAGCTCATCACCGGGCCGTTCTCCCCAGGCAAGATTTCGGAAAGGCAAGAAAAACATCCATCCTGCACAGCCCCAAAGCACCCTCCACACGGCAGCCTGGGCCTTCACTCGCTCTCTCCTTCCCCGCAGCCCGTGCGAGGCCCTCGGGGCACAGAGGAGATCAGGAGCTCCGGACATGGCCTCCAAGCCCCCAGAGGATCGGATGGACGGCGAAGCGCCACCGCGGCACCTCCGCTCCAGCTGGCCGAGCCCTCCCGCCCCGTCCCACCCCGCCAGTCCTCCGAAGAAGGAATGAAGTCAAAACCGGGTATTTATTTCTGCGCAGTCTCTGAGCGTCTCCCGTGGGTGCCGCGGTGCTGGGGGGCTCCCGGCGCCCCCCGGCCTCACTGCCGGCCGTTGTTGTCCGCGGGCTGCCCGGGGGGCTTGGCCTCGCCGTGCGAGGACGTGCCCTCGAAGCGCTGCGACGCGATGGCAGCTTGGTGGGACATGCTCTTCCTCACGATGTCCCCTTTCCTCCACAGCACCACCTCCTGCAGGGACACAGGCAAGGCTTGTCAGGGCTCGTGAGAGCTTCTGCTGAGACCTTCTGCTGAGACCTTCTGCTGCCCCACCCAGCCCCGCAGCCTGAACCAGGCTGCGTGTTCCACCCACAGCCAGGGCACACCTGGCAGGGCAGCCTGCCTGAAATTTGGGTAGAAAGCTCCTCCCTGAGCTCTGGGCACACAGAGGACAACCACAGCACCTCTGTCCTAGTGCCACTGGTAAGGTGAAGCACAGAAGCTCCAGCACTGAGCAGAAAATATATTCCAGGCAGGCACTTCGCAGAATCCTCCTCACCACCACACACATCTGACCTGCATGGACATTCTTCTAGGTCATCCTTCCAAGTGATGAATCCCAAAATGGACATTCTTCTAGACTATCTTTCCACTTGCTGAATCCCAAACGTCACAGACATATTTTATGAAAAATCCTTTTGCCAGGATCTTTTCTCCTGAGAAGCTGGGAAGCTTTAGCTTCTCCATGTTTTGCTGCTTTGGAATGTGATTTGGAGAATGGCTTACCCAGCACGTGAAATTGTTTTTAGTTCATGACCAATGACAGCCACCTGTGTCGAGGCTGGGAGCAATCACAAGATTTTATTATTGCCACCTGTGTCGAGGCTGTGAGCAATCACAAGATTTTATTATTGTTCCTTTCCTTTCTTTTCTAGCTTTCTAATGGATCCTTTCTCTCTATTCTTTTTAGTATAGTTTTAGTGTAGCATTTTAATATAATATATCATAATATAATAAATCAGCTTTCTGAAACATGGAGTCAAGATTCTCATCTCTTCCCTCATCCTGGGACCCTCAAACACAATCACACCCAAATTCCCAGTAGGCCCAGTTGGTAAAAGCATCCCAATCAACCACGCACAGGTCCAAAGAGAAGAGCAGCTCTGTTTCTCACCTGCTGTTTGAAGTAGCGCCTCTCCTCCTCATCGATCAGCACCAGATTGAGGTAATAACGCACAGAGAACTTCTTGTTGATGTCCCTCATGGTTGGAGTCAGCTCGTAGCCAGCCAGAAAGAGCCTGATGGGAATGGACTCTCCTGGAAAGGGCACAGAGCTGTCAGCACGGACAGGATGCAGACAGAAACCAGGAGAGCAGCAGCAAAACACAAACTCACACGGCCACAACCTTTGTCACCGTTTCCACAAGGGGACTAACATGAGCTAGAAGACCTCAACTCCCTCCAGAAACCAGCATGCATGATCCTCAGCCAGATCCTGCCCTTGCTGACAGCTATTCCAGCTCCACTCTAACAGCACAGGACTCTTTTGGGACCTGCATCAAGACAGCACTGCAGGAAAAAATGAGTAAGGTGACATTTTCTCTAGCAGGCGACTCTGCTGGGCAAAGAACAGTGGCACAGGAGATTGGCACAGAGCAAGAATACCACCTCTGCTCTGAGCTGCAGCAATGCCAGCTGCTGGCCCATGCCAACTGTGAATTTATAGCTGGTTCTGCCACTGCTTCATCAAAAGAATTAAGTCATTGCAACTGATTCTGTCTTAGCTGCCCCTCATCACACTGGAGAAGGAAGGGGATCAGATCAATCCCCCGCTCTGAACCCACAACAGTGGAACAGGATGCTGAGCACACAGAAGATACTGCAAGAGCCAAATTCCCACCCCAAAATCCTCCAGAAGAGCAATGCTGGGGCTTCCTGTGCCCTCTCACCTCTCACAGGTGCCCCATCCATGATCTCGTACTTGGCTATGGTGTCGTTCTCGTGGTACACGTTGGGCCCTGTGCCTGTTGTCTCCCTCTTGATGATGTCAATCTCCATGTGCTTGATCTTGATCCGCACCAGCAGGAAGTAGATCTTCCCCACAATCACATCTTTTAAATGGTACCTGGCACGAGAGGGGAGGAAACACCAGGATCAAACCCTGTGCAGCAGAGCAGGGCTGGGGCTGACGTGCAGGAACTTGCTGGGCAGGCACTTTGCTCTCATCTCCAGCAGATGGCAAATCAACCATCCCCACCAGCAACCAGCCCTTCCTTTCCATCCTCTGCTCTTTTAGAAACCCACAAGAACATTTAGCATGTGCAGATAAGTTAAAAACATTGCTTCGGGCTGAATATCTGCAAGAAACCCCTGTATGAGCAAAGGCTCCAAACTCAGTATTTTACATCAATTAAAACCAACCCAAATCACAGAATCATTTAGGTTGGAAAAGATCTCTGAGATCATCAAGTCCAACCTCTGACCAACCACCACTTGCAAGGAGATTTGCCAGCACCAGCTGGGAAATATGCACTAAGAGTAGTTTAAAAGAGCTCTTCCCAACTTCTTTGCTGCAGTTAATTCCCGCTTCAGTTGCATTGCCTGGAAAGGAGCAAACACTGCCTTTTAGAAAAACACCTGGAAGCACTGATTTGGATATAGGGAGTGAGAAGTTACAGCAAGAATTTCATCCTGTGCTCCAGGCTCAGTGAGCCACAGCCACTGCTTCCCATCCCCTGACCCAGAGGAACAGGGAAAGGAGAGGAACCCACAGACCAGGGAGGATCTGAGGGGTCTCCCAGCCTCTCTGGAGCACGTGGACATGGAATTCCTTTGAGGAAACCTCCAGCAGGTGGGTCCCCAGAGCCCCCAGCTGCTCCTGAGCCACTCACTTGGACTTGTTGTACTCGAACTCGATGTGCAGGCAGTCCTCGATGCCCACTTCCATCTTGATGGAGGAGTTGAGCTCGGGGTAGGTGCTCAGCGTGTGCACAACGATGTCCATCTCCTTGACCACGTCGTTCAGCCTGCGGCTCACGGTGGCACGGAGGAAATACCTGCAGGGACAGTCCCCTCCCATCAGGGTCACAGCAGGGACAGGGGCTGCCAGGGCTTGGGCCGCTCTGTCCAAGCAGCCTTACTACACAGATCCATGTAAAGAGCTGAAATGGATTTGACTGCAAATCTAAATAAAAGATCTGCAGTCAAATCTTTTTTTGTGTGATCAACTCAACAGATGCACTGAGAAAGTTCCTTTTCCCCACTGAAGCTTGGAACTTTCTCCTTGGCAAGGTGAGGTGCTCAGTTCAGCTCATGCACAGCTGAGGGAAGGGCCAGCATTTCAAGAACAGGGAATGGGGAATGTCCGAAGAGACGAAATAAGCAGGAAACCAAAGAATTGCCACAAGGAAACAGAACAACAAGGAAGTTCCTCTTCCCATGTCATTTGCTGTTACACTGCTCTTTTTTAGTCCAGGTCTGAACAAAATAAACCCACAGCAAAAGAGCCCCCAGCTCTTTATGTGTACCTGCCCCTGGAGCAGCCAACACCCCCCACTGGAAAAGGCAGAAGGGAATTTTCAGATGGAAAAGCAGAATCATCTCAGCTTCCAAACATTTGTGAGCCTGGGTTACCTAAGCCCCATTTCGGGGATCCGAGGAACAGCCTGCACATGTTAAAACCGCTGCCCTTTTGTAAGATTACATCAGGCTGCACAGCCACACCTCCCAGTGCAGATCTCAGACTTTTCCAACCCCCATTTTGAAGGCAGTGAAAAGATTTTGAGTCGATTGAGTGCCTTGATGTGAAATATCATTTCTAACATATGAACAAGGCACAAACGAAGCATCTGTTTGCATACAGAGCACAATTAAAGTTGACAAGACTGATTACAGCAAAAATATCCCCACTGGAGACTAAACCAAACAGTTTATTTTGATTTTTTGAATTATCAAATAAATTAGCAAGTATTTGATTCAAAAGGGGCTGATTTCTCTTGTCACTCAAAAGGGGAAAAACAAGTTCTATAAAGAGCCTGATGCATGCTTGTAAAGTAAAGACCTCAAAGGCAGCCTTTTACAACTCAGCCCCCAAAAATGAATCTGGAGTTCTGCACCATCAGAGTGAATATCAGCACTTACACAGAGGAGAATTGGGTCAGCCAGGGCAGGGGACTCACCTTAGCTTCACATTCTGCCCCGTGTAGGACTCGTAAGGTTTCTCCACGTGTGTGAACTCAAAGTCAAACGTTTGTGATTGAGTGAATTCCCCAGGCCGGGCCAGGTCCTTCACCAGGGACACGAACTCGTGGTGGTTCCCTCGGTCATAGTAGAGCTCTAGGAAAATGGAAATCCAGGTTAAGCTTAACCCCACGTGACACAGATTTTCAGCAACTCTCTTGTCCAGGTCACTCTTTCCTTCAACACCATTCACAGAACCTACCAGGGGAGCTGCACTTGTTCCCTGCTCCCCATCAGAGCCAGGTGCAGGTCACAACTTTCCTCCCTGAAGCAGGAAGGAAAAGATCCACACAACCTCCTTTACTACAATAAATCAACAATTTGCCTTGGGGAGGCACAAGTCGCCTATTATCAATATTAAATATGGTTTGTAGCTCATGCAAACCCTTCCAATAATCTTCTGCACTGTATTCCAGGTCAAAGGTATTGCCACAGTGAGGAAAAACCACCACTGCTTGTCTGGAATAGAGAGTGACAGAGCAAAGCTGAGGGGACACAACAATTCCAACTGCTCCTGCTTATCCCTGGGCAGCAAAGAGCTTGAGTGGCCTTGAGCTGCAGCAGGGAATAAATGACAATGTTGATCCTGCTGCACAACCACCCTGTGTGTGGAGGCAGCTTAATGCACTGCTCCTCCAGCCCATGGATAACACATTAATGGCCACGTGAGCACGGTGAGGGGAGAGCTCTCACCTCTGGAAGCACTGCTCAAACCAGCTCAAGTGACCAGCATTGCCTCGCTTTTCCCCACATCCCTCCCACATCAGCAGGAAACTACAGGTTTCCTCATTTAATGAAAGCAATCCTCCACACCTCCACCGAGTTTTCAGCCTCAAGACAAAGCAACAAAACCCTTCAATCTCTGCAATTTGCATGAACAGCTTGGGATTACCCAAACCCATCAATGAAATCTGCCCTTCCCAGCCCTGCGTGTGAGCCTGTGCCTACAGGACACCCACACAGTCCTTCTGCAAGGCAAAGCCTTTCTGCTTAGATGAGGAAACAAAAACCTAAGTCATCACACAATCACACTCACACAAGCTCAGTGTCAGCACTAAACTGTGCAGAGGAGGCACAGAGGTGCTCAGGAACTGCAGTTCAGCCCTCCTTGAGATGCACAATGAGATTTCAGCTTTTAAGTGATGCCTGTTCCTCACAGCCCTTTGCTCACCTTATCTCTCTAATGGAAATTTTGGCACTAGAGCTCCCCTCACTTACGCACAACAGCAAATGTCACCGAGCCCTTTAGGCTGGGCAGGTGACATAAATAACCAAGCCTCTCTCTGTGCACTGAATTTATGTGTCCACTGAGAGGAAAATGCTCGCTGATGTGACAGGGAGAAGCCAGGTGCCAACAGAAAAAGAGGAACCAGCCACAGAAATAGAGGAATCAGCCCAGACCATCGTGATACACAATGCAGAAATCAAAAAAGCAAGGAGAGGCAGATGTCAGTGCACTGAGTTCTCTGCTACCTCAGAAGGTCATGTTTGGCACCCTGCAGCCTTTAGCAGAGTGATGTTTCCCACACTCCAGCCTGTCAAACAGGTATAAGCTGTAATTTCAGGTTTTCAGAGCTATAAGGTTTCTAGACTGAGAAAATAACCTGCCAACATTTCAGTGGTTTGCTCAGGCCACAGCCACCAGAGGTGAAACCATCTGGAATGGGTTCTGTGCTCACCTGGGAGCAGGCAGGACTCAGCACTCACAGTCTGGCTTCTGGTACCTGCTCTGGAGCATCTTCCCTGCAAAACATCCCTCCTTCACATCCCAGTCCCCCTGTCTGTTCAACTGTCTGACCTCCAGGCTGACCTGGTAGCAGCAAGAAGTCAGAATACAAGATGGAAAGCATTGAGGAGTGCAATCAGTGGTACAAACTTCAGTGATTTATCACAAAGGCCTGAGGGGCATAAGGACTGACGTGCAGCCACAGCAGCTCTAACACACCCTGCTTGGGCAATAATGTGCAGACAAAGCAGTAATTCCATGCAGGCATGGCTCAAAAGTCTTCCAAAACAGGGAATGAGTTGCAGGCAAAGCAGCACAGCAGAGACAGTGGAGCAGGAAACAAAGTCCATGCTTGATTTCCACTGGGAACCGTATCAATAGGAGCTCATAACCTGGGCTCCTGGTGAACAGCCTCACCTACACTCCATCATTCACACACTCCCTTCCTTTCCAAAAACCAGAGTCAGGCACAAGCAAAGCCAATAAAACTCAAACAGCAGCATGGGGTTGGGTGGGAAATCTCCTGCTCATTTCCCTCACCACACAATTTGCAATGCAAAGGCTGCAGGCCCCTGGCTCCAGCAGTGATTTTGAGGTTTAGAGCCAAGCACAGAGAGCCGCAGATGCGAGGCCTCGCACGCAGCCAGGGAAGGAACATCCTGAACTTATTTTGGCTTGTGGGGCTCCAGGCATGTCCGTGGAGCAGGGACAGCTCCGCTCCGATGGAGTGGGTGTGGCAGCTGCCTTTCCCCTTCGAAAGCAGGAAACATTAAACCTGAATTGGTTACACGCACAGATAACCACAAGTTTTGAACAACTTGAAGTCACCCGACCAACCGTGCAGGGGTGCGTGGAGCAGAAGGTGGGATCAGCCAGGGTGAGCCTGCATGCCCCAGGAAAGGTGATCCACCCAGGTAAAAGGGACATAAGGACAAAACCCACCCCATCAGCACTCTCAGCATCCCTAAGAGGATCAGCAGGCACACGAGGGAAGCAGGCAGGAAGCTCCTGGAGCAGAAACACCAGCCTGGGGAGCAGGGCCTGGCAGCTGGCGTTGGCAGCAGGTCTGGGCTGACCTGCAGCTGCAGGACAGAACCAAAGCGCGCCCGGCTCGGAGCTGAAACCGGTGACCGAGCAGAAGCGAGAAATTAGGACAGGAGAACAATGACCTGGAAAAGGACTGGAATGCCCTTCCTCCTGCCAGGGCTCAAGCCTGGAGAACAGGCCAGGCTGCCCAGCTCAGAGGGCAGAATAATGTCCAGCAGCCATGGGAATGCTGCGTGCAGCCGGGCATCACACAGGAGCGAGTGGAACCTGCTCAACACCAGCAGGACCCCAGTGCCACGGGGCACAGCAACACCCCCAGCACCAGTGAGATCCCAGTGCCATGGGGGACAGCAATGCCCCCAGACCCCTGGTACCAGTGGGATCCCAGCACTGTGGGGTACAGCAATGCCCCCAGACCCCCGGAACCAGTGGGTTACCATGGGATGCAGTGATGCTCCCTGGACTCTCAGCACCAGCAATGCTCTCTGGATCCCCGGCATCCGCAGGGATCTCAGTATCATGGGGCTCAGCAATGCTCCCCAGACCCTTGGCACGTGCGGGATGCACTGATCCTCCCCGGACCCCCGGCACCAGCGGGATCCCGGCACCGTGCGGCGCACCGCTGCTCCCGGCACCCACGAGGGGCACCGGGAAGGGACACCGGGCCCGCAGGCCGCCCCGCTCACCGATCTGCCCGATGAACTCCACTTTGATGCCCTGGTGCTCCAGCCGCTTGTTGGGGTTCTTGAGGGTGAGGACCACCCGCCCCGACACGGTCTCGCCGTCGTAGAAGAGGAAGTATTTCTCCTTCTTGCCTTCCTCCGTCTTGTGCTCCACCCGCCGCCGGCTCTCGGCGTCGCTCAGCACCAGCTCCAGCTCCGGGCTCTGCCCGAACCCGAAGAAGCTCATGGTCCCGGGATGCGGCGCGGGCGGACACCGCGGCCCCGCTGGCGGATCGCGGCCGGGGCGGGGCTGCGCGGGGCGGCGGCGGCGACGCCGGGGAAGGAGCCGGGGCGACAGCGGCGG